AATTCCCCAATAAAAAATCTTTTAAAAAAATCACCAAAAAAACAAAAACTTATGTCCACACAAAACCTACACACAGCTGTTTACAGAAGCTTTGTTCATAACTGTCAAAGTTTGGAATCAACCAAGATGTCCTTCAGTAGGTATGGAGCTATAAACTGTGGAACATCCAGACAATGGAATATTATTCAGTATTAAAAAGAAATGAGGAACCTTAAATGTATTAAGTGAAAGAAGCCAATCTGAAAAAGCTACATACCGTATGATTTGTACTATATAACATTCTGAAAAAGGCATAACTATTGAGACAGTGAAAAGATCAGTGATTGCAGGTTAGGGTGGAGTGGGGGAATATAAATAGGCAGAGCACAGCTTTTTAGGGCAGTGAAAATACTCTTTATGATACCATGATGGATGTATGTCATTATACATTTGTTCAAACCCATTGAATGTACACCACCAAGAGTGAACCCTAAGATAAACTATGGACTTTGGATGATAATGTGTCAACGTAGGTTCTTCAGTTGTCACAAATGTACCACTCAGGTGAGGGATGTTGATAGTGGGAGAGGCTATGTATATGTGGGAGGGGGGAAAATATATGGAAAATCTTTGTATCTTCTGCCCAATTTTCCCATGAACCTAAAACTACTCTAAAAAATAAAGTCAATTTTTAAAAAGGGTGGAAGGGAGGGAGGAAAGGAGGAGTGGTGGGGTTTAGAAGGTGTTCGCAGCCAAACATCAAAAATAGTCAGACTATTACACCAGATCATGTTTTCCATGAATAAAGACAGTTTACTTCTTTTTCAATCTGGATGCTTTTTCTTTTTGTTGTCTGAATACACTAGCTAGCTTCCAGTATAATGCCTAATACAAGTGTATTCATATTAATATGAATATGTGTATACATCTTTGCCTTGTTTTCAATATTAGGGGAAAATCATTCAGTTTTTGACCATTAAATATGACATCAGCCATAGATTTTTCATAGATGATCTTTTTCAAGTTAAAGAAGTTCCCTTTTTGAGACTTGGTCCCTACTGAGAGGTGACAACGCTGCCACTCTGTTCCAAGAACCCTGCACTCTGCTCTGCTCAGCTCAGACCAAACCTCTGCTGGACGGACCTCCCAGACCAGCCACCCTTCCTTGCTCCACCAGGACTCCGATTGACTTTGAGGCTGGTTCATTACTCCATTTTACCCAATTATTGTATTACTCTGTGTGCTTTACTGTTTGGTGTGTTGATGATTGATGTTTGAGTAGAGCATATTGAAAGGCAAAAAAAAAACCAAGTTCCCTTTTAGTCCTAGTTGAGTTTTTATCATGGATGTTAGATTTTTGTCAAATGCTTTTTATTTTTATACTAACCTGGAATTCCTTGGATAAATTCCACTTGGTCATGGTGTATAATTCTTATTTGTTGCTGGATGTTGTTCACTAATACTTTGTTAAGGATTTTTGTGTATATACTCTTGAGGGACAGTGATCTATTGTTTTCTTTGCTATCTTCATTTGGCTTTGGTAACAGGATAATACTGGCCTAATAGAATGAGTTGGGGAATGTTGCTCCCTTTTCTGGAAGAGTTTGTGAAAGAAACTTTTCAAATAGCCAGGGAAGCCATTTATTTGGTCCTGAGCTTTTCTTTGTGAAAAGATTTTTAAATTAATTATTTAGTTTACTAATTTGTTATAGGGCTATTTAGATTTTTGTTTCTTTTTGAGTAAATTTTGGTAATTTGTGTCCTTTTTTTCTCAGTTGGTCTTGACAAAGAATTGTCTCTTTTGTTGATCTTTTCAAAGAACCAACTTTTGGTTTCATTGATTTTCTCTATTGTTTTTCTTTCAATTTCATTGTTTTGCTCTAATTCTATTATTTTCCTGTCTGCTTACTTTAGATTTTGCTCTTCCTTTGCTAGTTTTTAAAGCTATTAAAGCTATATTATTCTTTTGAGATCTTTCTTCTTTTTTTTTAAAAAAGATTTTTATTGGGGAATTGGGGGGGATGGGAACAGTGCTGGGGAATTGGGGGAAGGGGAATAGACAAGTTGCTGTCGTTTTGTTCTTCAGTCTAGTTGTGGAGGATGTTGCTTCACTGGCCCAAGTTGGCACTATCACTGTGCTCTTCCCNTAGACTGAAGAACAAAACAACAGCAACTTGTCTGTTCCCCTTCCCCCAATTCCCCAGCACTGTTCCCATCCCCCCAATTCCCCAATAAAAATCTTTAATAAATAAATAAATAGATAGATAAATAAATAAATAAAAGACAAGGCATGACTGAAAGTTGGTTAATTTAGAATCTGACCATATTAACACTTACCCTAGCAAGGCTCCAACTATGCCACCAGCCACCAGGCCATGCAGGCCTAAGTTTATCCTAAAAAGACTTCCTGTGACAGCTATTTAAAAATAAACACAGAAAAAAGACAGTATTCAATCATCTTTAAGTACCAGAATTCCATTTAAAATTTTTCCTTCTATAAAAAGGACATAAATATCTAAGTTAGCTTTCTGAACCCAACATTAATATACCCACACAACCTAGATGTCCTGGATCTAAATTGCCAACACGGGCTAGCTTCTCTTCCATTATGCAGGTTCATAAGAAAGAAATATTCTTTTTGCAAACCTAATTCCTCAATCTGTTCTCTGGGTCCAACTTCTTCTCATTCTGCTTCATTTTTGCCCACTTCCCCTTAAAAATCTGTAATTTCTTCACTTCTACTTCTTTCATTCCTTCCTTCTTCAAGAAAAGTCTCCCCCAAATAAACAACAAAACCCCGTTTATGCCTTCCCCAGCCCCACCCTTTCAGTACTGCTACACTACACCTCGCAGGCAGGCAGAAAGCAGGCAGCATTTGGCTTACAGTGCCACCTAGCAGCGGGTACATGGGTCCTCTTCTCCTCCCACTGGGACTTGACGTCCCTGACGGTCAATCATTTTCCTCTTTTACTATGCACAACACAACTAATGCCATCTCAAGTAGTAACATTAAAATAAATAAATAACATTTGAAGTTTATATTTCTAATTTAAGTACTATATGTTCATTTTCTTACCTTTTCTAAAATTTTTGATTAACAAGAACAAAAATCACCTTTAATTTCATAACTCAGAGACAGTAATAAATTTGGTCTTTTTTTTTTTAGTCTTCTTCTAAATAAAATATTTTTTTAAAAACCCTATTAGAATAGTCAAAATCTGGAACACTGACACCGCAGAAATTCTCATTCATTCCTGGTGGAAACGCAAAATGGTTGTCACATTGAAAGACAGTTTGGAGGTTTCTTATAAAACTAAACATACTCTTACCATATGGTCCAGCTATCACACTCCTTAGTATTTACCCAAAAGAGTTAAAAACTTATGTCCAGGGCCGGCCTAGTGGCGCGATGGTTAAGAACTGGTTTGGGACGCCAGAGGGCCCCAGTTCGGATCCCACATATGAGGGCCAGTGAC